TTGTGACAACTATATGCTGCTCCTGTACCACTGAAAAAAACGAAGAAGAGAGCGGACGGTTCTTCCGGGTTAGCTGCTTGTTAGCCATCTGTTGTTAGCCGTCTTGTTAGCTTGTTAGCCGTCTGTTGTTAGCCCGCCGTCTTGTGTCCGGTGCGGCGCAGGGTCCACCCCTACCAGCCCAGCGGCCGAATGCTCAGTGGGTGCGTCCGAGATGCCCCGTCTGTCCCAGCAGTCCTCCGTCGGAGCGCGTCAAGGGGTAGAAGCATGCCACCCTAGCCCGACTCGCAGAGCCAGCCTCCAGGTAGAAGGTATGTGTTGCGTTAACATACCGGACCTGTGTAGTTAATAACTTCCCTTTCCAGTTTACCGTAAATGTCTGTTATTGGCTTGGATTTGAAAATAAATATCTGAATAAATACGACTTATAGTCCGGTGCGACCTATATACGTTTTTTTCCTCTTCACGACGCATTTATTGGCTGATGCGACTTATACTCAGGAGCGACTTATAGTCCGGAAAATACGGTACATCTCAAATAAATGGATGTTTACTTGACAGACAGCTCATATTCATGATGGAGTACCAATGATTACAAAAAACTACATTTAGTTATCTTAATCTTATGCTTGCATCCTATATATACACTGACAAAACTGTAACGTTTTAATTAAATGTATTATGTCAAAAATAATTCACATATTTGATTAAAGTCAGTGTTTCAGTTTTTTCAGTGCTGGCTTACTATCCCATATTGAGTCATGAACTGTGAGTGGAGACAGGTCGGATGGAGGTTCATACCTTTCACAGTAACATAGACGCTCTGGTGTGTGGAGAGCTGCGGCTGCACCAGCACGTTGCAGGTGTATTCTCCTTCATCCACATCCTTCTGCACATCAAACAGCTTCAGGGTGCCGTTATTCTCAAAGGCCCGCTGCCGGTGGTTGTAGGGCAGCAGATTGGAGTCCTTGTACCATTTGATGGAGTAGTACGGGTAGCCAATGACACGGCAGTGGATGTACATGTCCCGCCCAGCGATGGCAGTGAGGTTTTTCATTGATCTGATGCTGGCAGGCCCTTGAAGGACACATTGGAGAGACAACTCTCTTAAAACGATTTTTAGGCGGGGGGGGGGTGGTATAAAAGATAGCTGTGCTGTATTGTGTATGCTTTTAAGACACCACAAAAAAAAAATTCTTAATCATGCCTTGCTTCATTCTGATTGACCAATTATTGCAGGAATGTATTTGCAATAACACAAAGGAACGTAAATCGTACATTAATCATAACCAGCATACCCTTTCTGCTCTGTTTTTCTCCATGTTCTTTTTTATGCAGAACCAGGGACTCGTGTACCCTTCTATTCTATCCTGTAGTGATTATTACCTTGCGCTCCAACCTCTTTGGTTCTGGCTGTAATTGCCTATGACAAGCATTAGAGTGGAATGTTCCCTTTCTCTACTCATGAAGCTATTATCAAAACCATTACTCATGTTGCCAGCTTTCGCACACACTTCTGAAAAACCAACAGAATACCCAATAGGCTTCCATAGCTCAGTGTCTATCAGGAAGATGGACGATTAGGCTTCTCTTTAAAGCACTATAGAAGACAGTTTAACTAGGCTCCGTAGTGTACTTTTTATGCACAAGCATATCCTGGGTTGCTACTCTCTTTAGCACGATTAAGGAGCCAACGATGTGAGAAGCAGTCATTACACTTTCTCTGCAATGGCACCTGTGCAGATTTATCTTCATTGCTTCACTGCATTCGGCATCCGTGGACCCTCGCTTAGGGCCTACAGGATCACCCTATTAGCCTTACAACATGCAAGAATGAACACAATCAAATTAAACCTATAAATGTACATAATGTAGCCTTCCCCCTCTGCAACAGAGAAATACAAGTAGTCTTGCAACCAGCACAGAACGCTGCCCAGTATTTCCACTACATGACAAAACAGCCAAACAGCTAGGCTAACAGTAAATCACCCTAAAGTCCTCCCAATATGAAGCTTTCAGCAGTAGTCGGGCTTTGTAAACATTAATGCTCATGCCATTGACTGATGGTTAATTGTATTCCTAGCCATGATGCTACAATAACAGGTTTCTAAAGGAATAACTTACTCAGATGTTCTTTTAACCTCTACAATTCCAGGCACTCTAAAGGTAGCCGATCAAAAAGGTACAACAACAGAATGAATCAGGACATGTTGATGTGTATGTGATGGTGTGTTGGAAGAGTTGATCTGACAAGCACCTCTTACGTTTATTCGCGCCTGGTAGGAAACGGTCCCGGCCGAGTTGTTGCAGATGCAGCGATACACCCCTCCGTCTGGCACCTGGGTCTGGCTGATGTTCAGGTGGCTGACCGCATGGCCCTCGGTGTTGCTGTAGTGGGAGATGCGGTGGCGGCTGTCCCGTATCACAGGTTCGTCATCCAGAGTCCACGAGACCCGGGGCTCCGGCGTGCCCTTCACCGTGCACGACAGCGACACAAACTCATTGATGTTGTAGACCTTCTCGCTGAATGAAGCCAGGATCTTGGGGGTACCATCTGGGAGGGGGAGGAAGATACAAAATGTTTATGTCATTACTCTTCAATAATTATTGTCATTGATGATCTATTCAGAATCCAGACTGATTTGCTTTTAAATTGCAATAGATTCATGTCTTCTGTATTAAAAGCAGTATCAGTGTAAAGTAGATTAATACAGCTCCTTTCTCTAGCTCCACAACATCATTGATTATCAATATTCTCCTTACATTGGGGTGTTCATGGGAGGCAGAAATTGTAGCAGCCTAGTTTGTGAGCCCCTATCAGAAAAAGTACTGCATCACCAAATAGCACATACATAGGTTTGATTGGAACATGAACACAATGACAGTTTGTATTTACTTTTGCAAACACAATACTGGTACTCACAACAGAAAGAGATTATACACACAAAGTACTGTATAATATCTCCTGCAACCAACACCTCTCCAGTAAGATCACTGTGAATTCTCACCTTCCAGGATGACTTGAACAAAGTCCTGGGCGGACATCTTGGCGTGTCTGGCGAAACACTGATAGGCTCCTCCATCGCTCTTGGCCATACCAGCCATGACCAGATTCTCCCTGTTTTGGCCCGTCATGCGAACGCTGTTGCTGGGGTAGATGAGCTCTCCGTTGCGGTACCAGGATAAATGGTACTCCTCTGAGCCGGTTACGCTGCAGGACAGTGACACCTGGCTACCAACGCTGCCCTTCACCTTTCGCGGGCTCACCACAACCTTCAGCTTTTCTGTAGATCAGAGAGAACCGTTGATGTTTTTAACAGATTATTTGAATATTTGGACCTATGTGTGTATCTGTAGTTTTATCAAGGCATCATGATTGTTTTGCCAGTGAAGGTTTAAAAGGCTACTGCTGTGTCTCAATTTGGACACTTCCCTTAGAACACTAAATGTCGTACACTGTGAACACTTGTAACCCAGTCTCATGACATTTCGTGTTATAGTCACAAAATGTAATCTATTGATTCGTGTTCACCAACACGATTATCCCCTTTTTTTCGTGTCACACAGAACGATTTTAAAAGCAATGTATTTCTACTGGTAATGTGTTTCTTGCCTGCAGCACGTCTTTTTCTCCGGTCGGGTCTTGGAAGACCGGAAGCTGTGTGGTTCATAAAAACATGTTCTTACTCAATATCAAGCCACAATTATTGCTTTTATTTTAAATCGTATAATTTCGGACTTTTGTTGCCGTCTGTGAGGAAAATAAATGGGGCTCAGAGCCTCAGAATACTGAAATCTGTATTTTTTAAATCTTTTTTTCCTTCTAATTT